TGGTCTGTAATTGCTGGGCTAATCACTTACAACCTTTTTTGAACAAAGGTGTAAAGTCTGCAATTCTTAGCTCTGTGGAACCTCCCCAAATTCAAAGGAAAACTATAGCCATAGATTATGGCCAGTGCCTCTACAATCTTCACACTCACTTCCTTCAATATGTATTTCATCTGGTCCCAGTTGTCAACATTAAACTTTCTCCTTATCAATGTTGACTCCTACCCTTCCAGTGACAGAGCTTCCTACTATTTTGCTCCCTATTTTGCTCTATTCCTTCTTCTAACATCCTTTTACGATAAATAGGGGGTCAGTTCACTCAGTAGGCTGGATGGATAGCTTGTAGTACAGAGTGATGCCAACAGTGTGGGATCAGTTCCTACACTGGTCAAGCTTACCATGAAGGACTCTCCTTTGCAACCTCTTCCCTTGCCTGAGGTGTAGTGACCCTCAGGTTTACCCACACCTGTCATCTCCCTCTCTCTGTGTCTCTAATGAGAGAGCAGCCTGATGGTTTGGTCAGACTATGGTGACTTTACATTTACGGTAAATGTATCAATATCTTCATTATGTTGGCCACCAGTCTTTTCTCAGATTTCCCCTCAGAACGCTTTGTACTCCTCTTGATTCTCAATTGTATTCTCTACTTGACACCTATCGTAAGTGCACATTTTCATCTACATTTTAGTTTCTATCTCCTTTTCTATGTAGGAAGTCTCGGACTTGTTTGCCCTTCCTTTTGCTTTTGGGGGAATATTCTTTGACTGTACGTGAACTATCTCCAGTTTGAAGATAGTCCATTGTTCAGCTACATATTTTCTCATCAACCTCTTGTTCCAGCCTATGTGGTCTAGCTCTGTTCAGGGACCCCGTGAAGTTAACTCTCCCCTCATTAATTATTGCCTATTATCCTTTTTTAAATTATCATCCTAAACTTTACAATACCCTGATCACTGTCTCCTATATATTCTCCTGCTCATATTTAATTTACTTTCTGCTGAAATTTTTATCCATGCCTTTATTACTTCTGTCCTTGTTTATACCAAAGTATTTTTGTCAGCCTCCTACATTCAACACTGTAAACTTAAGATTATCTAAAACTCAACTGTCCATGTCATAACTTTTATCAAGTCCCCTTCATCCTTTTCTCTTGTGTTCACTACATGAACTCCTGCCAAGTAACCCCTGCCACAATTTAAAAATTCTTATTCTTTCTTTCAAATCACTCCCCTTTAGTATCTCTGCAATTTCTTCCAGCTTGTAAACGAATGTTGTCAAGATAAACATTGCTAATTAATAAATACAGCCACACAACTTCTTTTATATTTCATAGGAACACCAGTGCATCCCCAGTTAAAGTCCATTCCAAGCATAAAATTAAACAATTAATATGTAATTAAAAAGAAGTGGTGTTTGTGCATTATCAAGGGAGTGGTAGCTAAGATATTAATTTGAACAATTATTCAATGCAAAGTTGACAGGACTCAAACCTTTGAGACAATACAGTGTGAAGCTGGAAGAACACAGCAGGCCAGGCAGCACCAGAGGAGCAGGAAAGTTGACATTTCAGTTTGGGACCCTTCTTCAGCATCTGCAGGTCTTGCTATCTCAAACCTTTGAGATATCTGTGCTTTTCTAATTCTGACCCCTTGGGGTGTTCCCGATTTAAATTGCTTTACCGTTCACAATGCCTTTATCTGCCAAAGCTCTAAAATGGGAGTTGCCTGCCAAAACCTCTTCATTTCACTAATTCTCTTTCCTTCTTTTAGATACTTGTAATACCTATCACTTTGATCAATTTTTTTGGTCGTCCACAGACAGGATAGTGCCTAGATTTTGTAGTGGTACTGCTGATGAAGCTGTCAGCACATATATTCCTTATTTCAGTGAAATTCACAGCAACTTTAGAAATCCACAGATAAGCAGCTGAATGGGGAAATTCAGAAGCTGCATTTCATGACTCTATGCTTCTCCAGACATTGCAAGGCCACTTTAAAAAAGTAGCATCTTGTTTAATGTTTAATGCTGTACTAAATTCACCACAACTGTCTCAGCAATAACAGCCATACATACATATTTAAACAACAGCTCCACATAATAGCACATCCTAAGGTGCCTTCTAAGGAGTATATGACATCAAACCAGGTAAAAATATTTGGTCAGAAGACTAAAAGCTCAGTTAAAGAGGTGCATTTAAGGTGTGTCATAAAAGAGGGAAGTGAGCTAGAGAGGCAGAGATGTGTAAGAAGGGAATTTCAGAGTTTTAGGCTGAGGCAACTGAAGACACAACTGCTGTACCTTGTGCTTGAAGCCACACACTGAGAAACTAATCTGGAGTATGTCTCAGCTGTCTGTGCATACACTGTCCCTGAGATTATTTGCTCCTCTTATTTTTTTCCTTTATTCATTCATGGGATAAGGGCATCGCTGACTAGGCGGTATTTATTGCCCGTCCCTAATTGCCCAGAGGGCAGCTAAGAGCCAACCATATTGCTGTGGGTCTTGAGTCACATATAGGCCAGACCAAGTAAGGATAGCAGTTTCCTTCCCCAAAGGGCATTTGTGAACCAGATGGAATTTTCCAACAAGTAACAATGGATTCGCATTAGACTCTTAATTCCAGACATTTATTGAATTCAAATTCCAACATCTGCCATGGCGGGATTCGAACTCACGTCTCCAGAATGTTAGCTGGGTCTCTGGATTAACAGTCCAGTGATAATATCACTAGGCCATTGCCTCCTTTCTAAGTAAGACACTTCAACTCCTCATATAGTGGAATGCTCCTTTATTTTTAACACTGTATGTTAGGTTATTAAATACTGTTCCCCAGTGTAGTGTCGAAGACCTCTCTCTTCTCATTCTAGACTGATGTCTTCTCTCTTACTGATTTCAGGGTCATCTGATCATTAACATCATCATGATTTACTTGATTACCCCCTCTCTCTCTCTCTACCACTCCCCACCACCCCACCCCCAAAAACAATTGCCTGTACTTTGGTTAACATTGCTACAGTCATTTCCTTCCATTTACTTATATGGTTTATGTCATCATAAACATCACTGTTATCATTGTTAATGTTACCATTATTATCAAAACTGCTCTTCCCAATTTCAAAGACCTACTCTCAAAGGTTCTATAACTCTGACTGGACATCCCAGTCTGGTTTGCCTGAGTTCACTGCTAGGGTGATGGAGTTGTACTGTGCTTGGAATAGTTGTGCCATTGGGTCCACCATCTGATGCAGCATAAATTTGGCTATCCCACATCCTGCGATAATCATATTCAGCCTCACTTCTTAACTCAAGTGAGATTTTCTCCTGAATCTCCTTTCAGGCGTTCTGTCAAAATAAGGTCTCAGTTGATCTGTTTGTCTGATATCTGTGGCTTTTGACTTCCTGCACCCTAACTAGAACTCCTGTCTTGGCTTGAAGGTTGACACAGTTTTCTCCTGTGTCTACAGTTGTACGAACTCCGCTGCTCTTAGCTGTGCTTTTTTCTCTAGTTCTTTGACATTCTCATGGTCTTGAGAGATCATGTTTAGTTTGAGGTTGTATTCCAAAACTTGTGCACCTGTTCTCAACCTCCTCTCCATCAGCAATTTCACTGGAGAATACCGATAGGCTTGGATAGAATGGACATGGAGAAGACGCTTCCATTAGGAACCTGACGGCACAGCCTCAGACTGAAGGGTCAACCCTTTAGAATGGAGAAGACAGGGAATTTCCTCAGTCACAGTGCCGTTAATCATTGAGTGTATGTAAGACCAAGATAGACAGATTCTTGATTGGTAAGGGAATCAAGGATTATGGGGGAAGACAGGAGGCAGGGATTGAGAAAAATATCAGCCAGGGTTGAATGGCAGAGCAGACTTGATGGGCCAAATGGGCCATTATGCACCTATATCTTTTGTCTTATGGTCATATAGTCCTTAGTTTAATGGAGAGTTGCCATTAGGTTAAAATTAATTTGACTTTTAGTCCAGTTGTTAGCCAGATATAGAATCATGAACTCCCTATTCAAGCTAGCTGTGAAAAGAAATTAAACCAATGAAAAAGGTTTACATTTTCTCTAGAGATATAGGTAAAAATTAGATGAAATGAATTGTGAAATGGATCACGTATGATTTATTTGAATGATGGAATTGACTCGATTGGCTGAATGGCGTACTGATGTTCCTACATATCTGTACTGATTGGTACACTGCAGAACCCATCCTGACTCCTGCTAAATTGAGAAAAACCTTGAATTCAATTTCCCTTGGATAACTGGGGAGAAAATAATATTGGCAAATGTTCCTGCTCATGATGGCTATCCAGCGTGAAAGTATACACATGTGGCACGGTGGTAATGTGCCTAAATCTGAGCCAGGAGGTTTGGGTTTAGATGTCAACTGCTCAAGAGATGTGTAATGACATTTCTGAACAGGGTGATCAGTAAATATCTACACATGAACATGGGGAACACCCAATCCATGATGCCAAGTATTGTTGAGCAGCGTATGATTGCTCACTGTCAAGGCATGGAATTAAAGAATGTCCATTGAACATGGAGATGCTTGTAGGATTTTGGCCAAGAAGGGTTTGTCAACTTTGAAAGACACAGAGGGGAAGGGGAAATGAAGAGAGTACACCCATGATCCATCAAATTGCTGAGAGGTATTCAACTATGGCAAATAGAATGGTTCCTTTGTGTCAGGTAAACTTCTTCATATGCTCTACTGGTTGATTATGGCCCTTTTGCTTTGATTTTAATCATTAACATTTCCCTGTTCTGAGATAAGAATGCCCTTTTAAGTTTTTTGTTGCTTTGTGAAACAACAATTCTTTCACAGTCAAAGGCAATAGAATAACATTGTTTAAATACTAAAGAGAATGTATTTGCGTCATCAAGTAACTCATCACTATTCCGAGGCCTAGTTTAAATCACATCCTGTTGCTGTAAGAAAGCTGTTAAGTTACTAGAAGGCAGTTGTTTTTACACTCAAGCATTGCTGTCTTACCTTTGCTATTTCCATCAGGCCCTCGAAGGATTGTGCATTCCTCAATGTTACCGAAAGCTTCAAATAGTCTGCGTACGTCCTCCTCCGACTGTTGCTTGTTCAGCATGCCCACAAACAATTTTCTGTCTTCTGGAACAAAAGTTAAAGGTGCTTACCAAATCCTTGCTGGTTCACACTATGACATTTAGTAATATCTTTGTGTTTACCAAAAAAAACTCTGCATCTCAAATATATCTATATTGTCACTCTTTACCATTTTGATTTGGGAAATATTCACTTTAAAATGTAGATGGTGTGACCATTTCTGTTTAATCATATCAAATATATCTGCAAATTAGTGATTTCTCCACATAAATATATTAAATACAGAAAAAGGCATTCGCAAACAAAAATGTCATTTTTGAATAAATTATAATGCCTGTTTGATGCATTTTAAGATAAGATAAGATAAGTGTAAAGCAATTTTTTTCTTGTCTTGATACTGAAACACGGACTATTGTTTGGAATTTACAGTAGTTATGATTTGAGTTAAATCCTTGTGTTTGTGTACCTTACATTCACAAAGGAAAATGCATTTCAGTAATTCAATTTCTGCTAACTCATTTAATGCTTAGGTTCACTTTTCTATTCTGTCTTAAGATGGCAGCAGTGCCCACATATGTAGACAGACTTGTAAAGGCAGTAAAGGAGTAACAGATCCACCCTTGACATTAAAGGACATTTCCCCCAATCTCTTTTCAAATTAAGTAACACTTACATTTTGTTTACTACTTATTATTACTGTCAAATTTCTGCCCTTCCCTAGTGGCCTGAATACTGTCTCACTGACACCCTTCAGTGACACGTTAACTATTCAGTATGACCCTTGGCAGCGGTTAATATAAGGCAGCTTGATCTTTTATTAGTTTAGTCATTTGATGTGAGTTTTGTTGTCTAGGCCTGCATCTGTTGACCATTGTTACCTGTCCTTGAGAGTCTAGGGGCATCACAGCCAAACCTACTTCTTCGGGGCCCACTCACATGCATTTTTATACTGAGGCAGCTGGAAGCCAATGTTCTTTCCAAGCTGCTCTGCTACATAGCAGGATGTAAATATGTTACCCCCTTCAGTTATCATGCATGCATGGTCATTAAAAAAAAAATTATAGGGCTACACACTGTTGAGGATTGCCCCAAGTGATCTTTCCTCTCCCAAACCTGTGGGTGTTAAGGCAAATTAAGTCATTGTGCTTTTATTCCTGTTCCACTTCAAGTTAGCTGACTTTTATAGACTGAGGAAGAAACTTGAGTCTTTCTGGTCACTATTGTTCATTTGCTTAATAATAGAAAACCTGAAATGAAGCACTGAGAAATTTCTTTTCCTGTGTCATGCTGGTCTGTTTCCAAAGTTGAATTTTCCTGGAACAGGTTACTGGCCTATTGACAGAGGCTGTAATTTAAAACATATCACACTGTATTAGGCATGGTTGACCATGAGATTCTCCTGCTCTTAGCACTGGCCATTGGTGTAATGGAAGGATTTACAGATTGATAATGAACCTGTTTGGCTCTACTACCTATGCATTTTCCATAACCATCAAGTCTTGGAGTTTCTGGCTGAGAAGCAGAAATGCTACCATCGTGTTGCAGGACCTCCTCTCAATAGGCATCTACCACAGTTATGTTCATCAAAGTAGTTTTTAATGCCTTGTATCTCGTTTCAATTTGAGTCTTTGAACGTTTAGAATCGATCAACTACCGTTGTCAATGCACTAAATGTGCAAATTGAGATGTTCACATTTTCACTATTCATAGATTTTATTTTTACCTCCATTAATTCAACATATATATGTAACAATATACTGTGATTTTCTGAAGTTCTCTCTCTCCTTCACATTAGAAGGCAAATTTCACAAGTTGAGATGTGACCAAAGAGTGAGAAATCAGTGAACCTGATTTGCAAAACAATGCATTGGATAATTGGCAACACTAGAGATGACCTCTAAACCGGAATTTTGGATCTGTACAGCAAGCGGATCTTCACAAAGTATATTTTGAAGGCAAGAATGTGACAGTTTGGCCAAACTAACTTTTGTGTAAATTAAAATGCATTTTCAATTCTTCCACTATGCAAAAATAGGTAGAGCACACCCTGCACATGAAATTGCTATCTCACAGCACAAACTTTCCGCTCCAATGTGCTCTGAAATCATTTACTTTACCTACCAATTTAAGCAAACCCAATTTTTTTTTCACTCAGATTCACAAATGAACCCACAGTCACTTTATCAGATATACTCTCCTTCAATTCAACCACACAAATCCAGTTACTGCAGGGAAATTAGAATTGGACAGAATACTTAAAGAAAAGCACTGCATATACCCCTAACCACAGCTGGAGCTCTTTTAATGCGTATATGTCCCGCAGCTTATTTCAGTTAAATTACAGTAGTAAGGAACGGCATGTAATCAACTAAATTTGCATTAATGGTAATGAAGTGTACATGAAACAGATGCAATTGAATAAAATAATGTAACAACACTGTAACAATTTTATAATAATGAATTAGTAGCAGCTTCTGCACTAACATCATTGAGTCTGATTTCTGCATCTCCGACAGTGGTGTAAAGCCTGGCATTAATTATTAATCATTTTACAGATATAAAGTGCAAATTTAATGAGAAATTAGTTTTTACAGACTCTTTATATATTTTGCCACAAGTAATGTACAACTAAAATATATATTGTGACCATGACTCATGATATGCAAGCTCAGTCAAGTATTTATATGTCCAAAGTCAATTGCTATATTTTTGTCTGGAGAAAATTCAACAAATTTGATAGAAAACAGCAAAGATTTTCTTCCTCTTCCACCTTTCTTTCACTGTTTGCTTTTCTGCTGTTTTCTTTCTGTGTTTGAACTAACCTCAAAGAAAGCCAAAAAACAAGAGAAATGAAGATCAGCATGTCTGAACTAGGGACTGATTCCAATGACCAGTGTGACACTCCTTCACTTTCTTGAGCTATAATCTTTGGAGATGGATTGTTACAACAAAATGAAGCTAGACTGTAGTTACTCCTCTATACTAGAGGAAGGGCAACTAGGGATGAACAATGAATATTGGCCTAGCTACTGAAGTCTACACAAAAATATTAAAAGTTAGTCTTGTCATATTAAAATAGGCAATGTCAATGCAGGCGATCATATTACATTTTGTCAACATAGTAACACAATGGTTAAAGAGATGCCTTGATTGAAAATGTAATTGAAATTTTTTTTATCAAAAATCAAAATCATAGGTTTGTATTTATTGTTGGCTTACAATATTCACTTATTCATTTGTTTTTTAACTTGTGCTGTAATTGGAGTCAAAGGAATAGAAAATCCTTTCTGTTATGAATCTTTCAATGGTAATAAATTGACTCAAATTTGACACTGGTTAGCACTCAAAACAGAGTTACTGCTTCAATGCTCCTGAATCTTTAGGTTATTCTAGTACTCTAGCATAATACTTCCATTTCACTTTTTATAGTCTTTCTAAAGACCATTCTCAAAAATATACAAACCTTGGACAACATAGCACTACAGAGGCATAATATTGGCAATGTGACTGAAAATGCTAAACTAATTTCAGTTGGATTCTCCTTACCCAGTTTCTCTCCTCAGTGTTTCAGGTACATTCCATTGGCATCAATAGTCCACTGGATGAACAACCATTCCTCATGTGAACGTAAACAATGAGTACCACCAGACTATTTTCCAGTAAAGGGCATTACTACCAAGCTGGATCAGGTCTTAATTTGTGCATTTTCAAATGGCCACTGGCAAAGTAACTGACTGGAAAGAGAGAAACAGCTTTCCTATTCAGTCAGATATTTAATCCTCATATTCTGAAACAAAAACTGAAATTGCTGAAGAAGCTCAGCAGATCTGGCAGCCTCTATGGAGAGAAAGGAGAGTCAATGTTTTAGGTCCAGTGACCCTCTTTTTTCCTGTATTCTGTTTCACCACAGCTAACAACATGGATATCTGGTATGCATGTAAATTGAAGGTATACAATAATCCAAAAGATTTTTCTCTTAATAACTTGTCCAACTTTTGCTCAGTTGTTTGTACAGAAAGTTTTTTTTCCTTTAAGGATTGGCAAAGAAAAAAAATCAGAACAATGACACTGGAAATTGCACTGCAATAAGTATTAATACATTAATTTCATCATTTCTGGCAGGATTGGATACAAAAATTTGCCTTGACAGACTTCTGTTGATCTGCCGTTGTGAATGAGTCCTCAGTTTATGTTTTAAATGTCAAGTGATAATGCACCAACGCTGTTGGTCCTGGTAAGACCAGACTAAGTTCATCTTTACTTAAACTGACTTTCCCTGGCTTTTCAATATTTTTCTTTTCTTGCATGGTACAAGTTAATGGTTCTAAATGAGTTAACATTGCATTGCATTAGATCCACACAACCTGATAACATTACACTATCTTTGTGTGGACAAACAGTTAATCTTGCTCAAGGCCCTGATGGAGATAAATTTGATATTACCCAGCTCCTGATGATAGAAACTGAAAGAACTGCGGATGCTGTAAATCAGAAACAAAGATGCTGCCAGACCTGTTGAGGTTTTCCAGCAATTGCTGATGATAGAAATTTTGCTTAACTAGATAATATTATGATGCAATAAGCAATATCTAGTTATGTAAGGAAAAGGGTCTCTTCTTGTTAAGACTCTTCAGGAATTTATCCTGTACCACTCATAATTTGATAGGCTAATCAATGCAACATAGAGAGGAAGATTGGTGTCCCAACTTCTCACTGACAGTGGTTGGTACCCAAAGACCAATACAACATCATGTAACAAATCTAAAAGGCATCAGCTGTTAATGTCTGGCTTGCCTTAATTTGCTCTCCCACTTTTTCTTTCTGGATACCCTTGTAAGAGTAAAGAAAATAGTTGGGACTTATTGCATAGAGCCAGACCCTTGACCTGTCTTGTGGAACAGTGCATTGGGTTGCCAGGGTGCTAATATGCCAGCATTGCACAATCTTAATTTTTGATCTTGCCTGTGACATGATCGATCTCAAGAAACTAAACTAAAGCTGCAAATATTTACAGCTACTTCAATAGAAAGTGAGAAAACCCATTA